AAGGATTGGTCGCATGTTATTAGCTGTCATTTAAGACTGGATTTTAGGTTGTTTGGCGTAGGAAAGTTGCGACACGTGTTATCCCGGCTTATTCCCAGTCGTCACCACAGGTTTTGTTCCCACTGGCGACAAATAGGTAAAAAAAACCATATGTTACCAGGTACCAAACGGGGTAAAAAAATCTCAGTAGTTGCTAGTGGTAGCAAATGGAATAAAGAATCCCAATTAATGTTTGTTTAACGCCGCCATCGAAAGCGAATAAAATTTGAGTTTAATGATAAAAATATAGACTGAACAGGCAGATAGTGTCCAGGCTGTCTGAATCATTGTAAATGATGATTTTTACTGTGATTTTTAATTGTTGTATGGTATAGGAAATATCTGATAAAACAGATTTTTTTTAATAAGATCATTAAACTCGAATTTTATTATTCCCTTTCGATGGCGGCAATAAACAAACATTTATTGGGATTTTTTATTCCATTTCTTACCACTGGCAAGTACTGGGATATTTTAGATTCCATTTGTCGCCAGTGGCAACAACAGATCTTTCTATCGCATTAGTCACCACCTGGCAACATACACACATAAAAAAAAGTTTGCGATCACTTCGAAAAACTGAAATCTTTTTTGTTACTGTAGATTATATTATTATTTTTTCTTCTTTTTAGATTCTTTATTTAAAAATGAAATTAGAACATAAAACAATGACCCCGTTCAATTGTTTTTTCATATAAAAAGGCTTTCAGTCCTAGCTTACGCTCATTCAGAAATCTGATTTAGTCAATTATAAGCGATTCAAGATATTCTTCGCGAAAAGTTGTGATTGAAAAAATGCCAAGAGGATTATCAGAGGTTTTACGAGCTAGAATAGTAACTTTGAGGGAAGAAGGATACACCACGAGAGTAATAGCACGCAGACTTGCTATATCCCAATCCTGTGTCGTGGCTACGTTGCAGAGGTATCACGGAATGGGGAATTTAGCTGACCGGCCCCGCAGCGGTCGCCCAACTGTTTTGACAGCTGCCCAAAAGCGCTATATTAGATTGCTGGCAGCCCGTGATCCAACAATCAACGCCACTAAAATAAAAGCAGAAGTCAGGGCCGCCTCTGGGCTTGAAGTTAGCACGCAGACCGTTCGCAATTGCTTGCACCAGGCTGGATTACGAGCACGGAGGTCTTGGCGAGCTCCGCTCAATTCCCGGCAACGTCAACAACGAAGATTGCAGTGGGCTAGACTTCGGCAAAATGAAGAAGGTGAGGACGAAAACATTTGGCAAAACTGTCTCTTCGTTGACGAATCCCGAATCAGCACTCATCCAGATAACCGACGTGTCCGTGTCTGGAGAAGACCAGGCGACCGTGAAAGACTAAGAACTGCCACTGGAACAGTTCAGCAAGGCGGAAAATCGGTGTCCTTTTGGGGTGGCATTATGATTGGAGCTAGAACGCCTTTGATCCCGTATCGGGGCTTCATGACAGCAGACATGTACAAAGCAGTTGCTATTGATGATATCGTCAGACCATTCCGAGTAAACCATGGGCACCAATTTGTACTGGTCGATGATAATGCGCCCGCACATCGAGCTCAACGAGTCAATGCTGCTCTTCAAGAATACGATATCACACGATTAGACTGGCCTGCCGGCTCGCCCGACTTAAACCCAATAGAGCACGCGTGGGATGCTCTTAAATGAGCAGCATGGAACCGTGAGCCACGTCCCCAGACAGTTCCAGAGCTCAGGGAAGCCGCTATTGAAGAATGGGATAGGTTACCCCAGGAAATGCTGGATAACTTGATCCTCAGCATGCCCAGGAGGATCTTCGCATGTATTCGAGCCAGGGGAGGAGTTATTTTATATTGAATTCACACCTTTTAATAATAAATTGTTGTTTAAGTTTAATTAAACAGTCTTTTTCTTTCTATGAAATTTCTATCACTATTACATTATGATTAATGGCTCAATTTTTTAAAATAAATAATAAAAAATAGTTTTATATTTTAATTTCAAACAGGGTATTCCCATTTAAAGAAAGCATACAACATAGATTTTTTCTTGATAAAGTTAAATTTAAAGAATTATAGGAGCTTATGCTATTGATCGCAAACTTTTTTTGATGTGTGTATGTTGCATCCTACGTAAAGTATCGTATGTCGAAATTGCCAAGTTTACAGGGGAGCGTTTTAAAGTTCTGAATTCACTGATTTAACTTCCTCTGTGGCCGAACGGTTACCATGCCGGGTTGCCACGCAGAGGTCCCAGGTTCGATTCCGGGGCCGGGAGAAACATTTGTATGGCCTACATTTATTTCTCTCGTGAGTTTGGGTGTAATTTGTGGTTGTCTATGTGTGTGTCCATGGCACCCGCGACACAGGGTTTCCCTAGTGCGGGGCTATGTTGAGTGTGTGCGTTATTTGCTAAAGTCACGTGTTATGCCCATTTCAGTGAATTCAGAACTTTAAAAGGCTTCCCTGTAAACTTGGCAATTTCGACATACGATACTTTACGCTGGAGAGGACGATTGTCCTCAGTGGGAACAAAGCCAGTGGTGACGACTGGGAATAAGCAGTTATTCCTAACTGTCATTTCGATGTGACTCGTATCTTATAAAGAGTGATTACTCAGAAGACGGCAAAACTTTCTATTCGTTTTAAATTTATTTTATAATATCAAGGAAATGTGATGTGAAATAATATAATCCATTATTAACTGACTTCAAAAAAGGAGGAGATTCTCAATTCGACTGTATGTTTTTTTTGTATGTATGTTACGTGATAACTCTGGTATTTGTGAACCGTTTTTCAGACCGAAAGAGGGTGGCTGTTCACGCATGAAGATTAATTTTTATAAATAGCGCCTAAATTTTAGTATAATGAGCAATTATTTTAATGGTTGATTTTGCTATTCTTCAATTCAAGGCGTTTTTCTCTCTCAATATACTTTGAGTAGTGATAAACCGATTTTTATTATCTCCTATGTCAAGTCCCGTATTGTGGCCAACTAGGGGATGAATCCGAGTTTGCGCACTTTCCGGTAACCGATTTCAATTAAACTTGGTAATTATATGTAATTCCACATACTTTTGAGGTCGGTTTTTTAGTACATTATACTGAGATTATAATTTGCATTTCACTTATTTAGTGCTTTAAGATACAAGTTTGAGAAACTAAGACGACGATTTGTCTAAGACACCATGTCAACAAAACTAACCTGCAAGATGTAACGGCGTCGAATTCCGCCCGTGTGAATCTCGGCAGTTGACATTTTGTGGCGTTATCAATTTTCTGAAACAACAAAGTAATTGAATGAATGAATGAAATGATCATGATGACAAACAAATCGTGCACCTGGTGGCACACGACATAATAAGCGACACTCCTGTCCTTAGTAATTGCAATGCCACACAGCTTTAAACCACAAACACCCGAGGGGCACTGTCACTGCGCCTGTCACCCTGAGACATAAGTAGACAAATCTCATGTGCCTGTAATTAGTAGCAGTAGAGGTCCTTGTGAAAGAGTTCATCCAGGGTAGTACTGCCACCTTACCTATTTCTGCCGCCAAGCAGTAATGTCAGCATTACTGTGTTCCGGTGACGGGCGCAGTGGTAGTGCCCCTCAGATCTTTGCAATTTAAAGCTGGCATTGCAACTGTTATGGACAGGCGTATAAATTACCATCAGGCGCACGACTTGTTCGTCCCGTCACTTGATGTTATAAAAAGAAATCATCAGCACCATTGACTTACAAATAAATGGACGACGGGTCTAATACAAAAACCACGAAAAAAATGTCCCAAGTCAACCTATTCGAAATTTAAATTGTAATGTCATCGCAGTATCGCGCTGTCAGTAGAACAAATGAAGACTAAAGCGGAGTGTCGCGCTCTGTATACGATTTTAGCGCCTTACAAGTGCGGACACTTTTTAGCGCGGACCCGACGTCCATATAATTGTAAGTCAATGATCAGCACCTTTACTCTTCAAAACTTTCTTATTTTTTATTTATTTTTATTATTGCGCAAAAGTGTTGCCCGCTTGCAAGCAACTAGTGATAGCAGTCGATAAATGTTCTATCGACTATCGATTGAATATTGGTCAGGCTTATGGAATAAATAGTCGAAAAATATTCCTCGGCTTATCATTCGTCCAGTGACTGAGCACGGGTTCATTTGAAACGACAATTTTTGTAAATTTACAAAAATTACTGTATTGTGAACAACATTCACAATTCAGAAATTTTTGGCAAAATTATATTTACTTTCACAATCTACCGATAAAACTGTCGACAACAACGACATGACTATTTAAAATCTTATGAAAACTGGTAACCCTGCTAATGTCATTTTAGTCCGTCTTCAAAAAAGGAGGGTGGCCTACATTTATTTCTCTCGTGAGTTTGGGTGTGGTTTGTGGTTGTCTATGCATGTGTCCATGGTACCCGCGACACAGGGTTTCCCTAGTGCGGGGCTATGTTGAACGTGTGCGTTATTATAATTAATAAGTTACAATTATTTTACTTAAGTTCCGTATTTCTCCTACCTTGCTCTGGCGAGGTCTCCTCTTTTGGCCGCGTCCAACAACGCGGCGTCCCCTCTCAACGCGTCCGCTGTATCTGTGTCTCCTGCACGTACCAATTGCAACGGCGTGAGACCATCTCTATTCCGCCTTGTCGGGTCTGCTCCGTGCTGGAAGCCAACATAAACCAAAATTAAAACATTGTTTTAAGACACCTTTCGTTTCCACATTTATATGGCAAACGGCTATGAAGTGGAATTCCCTGCCTGCGGTCTTGTTCCCTGAAGGGTAAAACTTGGGCCTTTTCACGGCGAGAGTGAAAAGGCATTATTTAGGTGTGCATGCTCCATCGTGACTTATTAGGGACTTTAATTATAAAAATCATAATAAGAAATTAAAACATTTGGGTAAAAATCAAAAGTCGATAAACCGCATTCATCGTAAATGAACATCACTATAGTCCATTTGTTTAGGTACTTAACTAAATGTAAACAATCTTGATACATCTTTTTATTGAAACACATGCTTTACAAATCAATAGGTATAAAAATAGGCATGCAATTTCATATGAAGCTAAGTATTTGTATTTTGTATTTGAAGGTAAGGGAAAATCATTTCATTAAATAGACATCTCAAGATTGTTTACATTTATTTAAGTACCTAAACAGATGGACTATAGGTCCGAGTCTAGAAATTTCTATAGAGACAAAAAGAGAACATTGAATAATAATAGAAACATTAATTGAAAATGTAAATAACCGGTGGTACGTTATCCTACTAATTTATAAATTATTGTTTTCACTCCAATTTTTACAAGCTACAACGCTACAAATTGGCATTTTCACGTTTTTTACGAGAGTTTTTTTTTATAATATCAAGTGACGGGACGAACAAGCCATGCGCCTGAAGGTAAGCTACACGCCTATCCATAACAATTGCAGTGCCACTTAGAGCTTTAACTAACTGCCACTGTGCCCGTCAACCTGAGACATAAGTTGGCAAGTCCCATGTGCCTGTAATTTCACCAGCACCCTTACCCTTCAAAACCGGAACACAGTAATGCTGACATTACTGTTTGGCGGCAGAAATAGGTAAGGTGGCAGTATTGACTGCCTCCGTGGCCGAACGGTTACCATGCCGGACTGCCACGCAGAGGTCCCAGGTTCGATTCCCGGGCAGGGAGAAATATTTGTATGGCCTACATTTATTTCTCTCGTGAGTTTGGGTGTAATTTGTGTTGTCTATGTGTGTGTCCATGGCACCCGCGACACAGGGTTTACCTAGTGCGGGGCTATGCTGAGTGTGAGCGTTATTATTATTATTATTATTTCCCTGGATGAACTCTTTCACAAGGAGCTCTAATGCTACTAACCCTGATCTTGTGTCTACAACGATCGCCACGTCATTGTGGCGATTTTTGAAGGCGTGTCTTCTCAATATGCGCATTTTGGGCATATCGAAGTGACACAAACCACGCCCTCATACCAAATCTCCCTCTTTTTTCTCTATGGCATGTAGTGACACTCCTTGTCATATTATCACACACAGATTCGTAACACAGGTGTTTTTCCCTAGTGCAAATTCCTCCTCTAAGGAATCTTTTAAGAGTGGACAATACTTCAGGTCGAATTAAAAATTTTCCCGTACTAATACGGTTTATTTTGTTTGGGTCGAGCGACAGGGACTCTATGGCTTTATTTCACAATTTATTTTTTTACAAACGACATTTGAAAAATGTATATCGTATGGTATACGTGTTCTATTTACTTCAGGTGATATAAAAAAAATCATTAGTATATGTTAAAGTACCAATTCAATACAGCGGTTTTCTTGTAAAATGTCGAGGTAAAAAACATTTTTGAGAATCGTGTTTTCACACCGTATAGTAATCAGTGCATATCCTCAATTTTACTATATACATGATGTTTTAATTTCTTAAACTCGTATCTTATAAAGGGTGATAATTCGAAAGATGGCAAAACGTTCTATTTTTTTAAATTTCTTACCAAGGGTGTTAATTTGGGTGCATTACTTTTAAAAATAGTGTCATGTTGCATACTATTTTTGGGGCCATAAGTATTATTTTTATGGACTTGTGGCGCCACTGATGCTCGGTTTTGATTGGTTGTTATACTGACCAATCAAAAGCGAGTATCCATTGGAGGGAAAAGAAGTAGGGGTAGAAGGGAGGAAAAAAGAAAAATGCAGTGGCGAACAGTCTTGTGTGCTGCTCGTCCGAAAGAAGTCGAATATAAAAGTAGATTATTAAATTAAGTAATTAGGAAAAATAATTAGTGAACAGGAATTGTAAATTTGGAATTGTAGACGTTTCTACGAAGTGATAACTAATAAATAAGTTTAAATTACTACGTTGGAGTTTTTGTTCTTAAAAATTAGTAAAAGCCAGTGTGTGATGAAGGAAATGTGACGTGAAATCAACCTGTAAAACTCCGTAACTTTGTCATTGACCTATCAAGAAATGGACGTCGGGTTCACGCTAAAAAGTGTCCGCAGTTATAGGGCGTTAAAATCGCATACAGAGCGTCAATCGCGCAACAGTCTTTGTTGATGTAAATTAAAGCGACTTAATTTACATCTTATTTTTAAAATGATATTTTTATTAAACAGTCAGTCAGATCAGTTCAGTCAGAAAATACATTTGTCCAAAATAACATTAGATCGAATTTTCATAATGTCAAATGTATTTCTTTTAGGAAGATTACAAAACAAAAGCTAATTTTGTCTTTGTGACAAGCATCAATATTACTTGTAACGGTTTTATTATAAATTGGTATTCGGAATTACGGATATTTGAGTTTACATTTAGTTGGAATATCAGAACATTTCTTATAGTACATGCTTATTTTCACATTTGTAGTAATCTTTGTATGTATGTATCTGCCCAACTCTTTGTTATACCTTTAAGTGAATTTGTACAACATTTGAAATAATAATATATATGAAAATTAATTAATATTTCCGAGAAAGGCTACTCCATTACTCTTGTGTTCAAGTAATTTTCAGTCGAAACTAAATATGGCGCATTTTGTTAAGCTTCCAGTAGAAGCTGAATATGGTGTTTTTTTGGGGCCCTTAAATTGTTGCAAGCAAAATGAGGCAGTACTGCAATGACGTTACAATTTAAATTAAATGTTTTAGTTTTTTTATATTTCGTTACATGTCGCTACATTTGTATCGGTTAACTTCGGACATTTTTTTCGTGGTTTTTGTATTAGACCCGATGTCTATTTGTTGGTAGGTCAATGAACTTTGTGCTTTAAGGTACGAGTTTGTGAAAGTAAATCGTTCCAAGTGATTAATTCGACACTTTCGGGTTATGCAGAATCAACCAAAGCCACTTACAGAAATAGAAATAGAAATAGAAACCATTTATTGTAACGCCACATTATAAAAAAAAACACAAAAACAAAGACTAATATAGCTAAAACAGAAATAACACAAAGAACAGCGTAAAAACATTTCAACAACAATTTGCTTAATACCATACTGACATGTGTGCGGCTGTGGCGTGTACAAAAGGATCCCATTCAGCTAAAGTCACAAACAAGGCTAGGTTGGTTGTGACGCTGGTATTCAATGGGCCCTAGCCGAATGAGTGAGAGTGACGGACGTGTGCGTCCCGGAACAGATAATAAAATAAAATAAACTACGTAAATACTTAACCATGAGTGTGTATAGTGTTATTGCAGTGTGTACTCTTATATCGAATAAATACTTACATAATCTTTGCAATATATACATACAGGTATAAGTGTGTGTAGTGTGAAAACAAATTAATAAAATATTTAATACATATTTAAAGTACATTACTTCAAATATATTAATATATAATAACAAGATTATCTATTTTCGTAAAATAAAAGTTCTTTGACTTCAACATTAAACAACTCTTGTTCTTACGCAGTTACTATTTCGAATAATGCTATGTGAATTAACATGTTTAAATGTTTATGATTATTAAGTTAAATAAAAATATACAATTAAAATAACGTATCACTGTTATAAACATCATTCCATTATCATATTTTATATAATAATACTTGAGGTAGTATAGACTCTTTAATATTAAGTTATCAAAACTTTTGTGCTTTACCTCGGTAGAGTGTTTTTGTATTATAATATGAATGTACCTTGAGCAGCAACCGGACAATGTCCGCCTTCCCCTTGGCGCAGGCCTCGTGCAGCGGCGTGAACCGCCACAGGTCGGCGGCGTTGACGCCGGCGCCGCACGACACCAGCAGCTCCGTCACCTCGTAGTGGCCATACGAACACGCGTTGTGCAGGGGCACCAGGCCACTGTATTATAACGATATTTCGAGTTCTTAAGTTTTCGCGATTGTTACACATAGGAAATGAAACTATTTTTCCCATGGTCACTCAACCGAGTCAACCGTGACCGGGACCTGTAATAATAAATAGTTTCATTTTCTACTACGATATTTTTATAATAATTTCTAAATAGCTCGCAAACCTCTTAGGAGGAATGCCATGTTGAGAGGCTTGGATTTAGATATGTACGACTATCGAGAATATAACCAGAAATAGAGGCGAAATGCCATTTAATTTGTTTGAAAACTATTCTGCCATATCATTACCGTGACAACTGCGCTCCGATTGGCTAGCCCGAGTTCGAAACAAAACTTGAGCTTTGCTATAATGGACGAAAATTGCAAAATTACATATATAATATTTAATTACCGATGAAATTTGATTCCGTTTGTTTTGTAATTAGATGTTTTGCTGTTTTTCCCACACCACCGAATAGAACAGCACGGCATTGTCAGAGATATTATCTTTATTACAATAAATACAGAATATTTTTTGGAATATACGGAGACGCACACACAGGTCAGTAGTTGGCGTCTATATTTCATTGCAAGCGAGAGTTGATATTTATAAGAGCTATATCGCTAATGTGTTACCAGGAATATATGGCCCGTATTTCGTCTTCTCTATTTCTGGTTATATACTCATGTGTACGACGTACAGTCAAGAGCACATCAAGCTTGACACTTTGACTTTTGGACTGTTCTTATTGCAAGCGGCATAGAGTTAAATTTAAACCTTTAGTGTCAAGCTTGACCCTGTACCATTTTATCCGTACGCCTAAAGCAGCCTGAGCAACAATCCTGCCGTACACTTACGAAAACGCAGCTAAGTGACAAAATCACTTTTTGAGATATCATAAAAAACCATAACCCAGTTTTAGAATATTGAAATTGTTTAATGATCGAAAACGTTAACTAATTTTAACTGTTTTTAAAAGTGAATTTTATGCTCTACTTTTTGCCATTTAAATCCGATATTTCACCATTTGTCACTTAGCCGTTTTAGTCAGTGGACGGCAGAATCGGTGAGCACCTTACACCGATTCGCAAAATAATAGACACACGTCTGGCCACAATCTCCCTTGTAAGTCCAGTACGAGTTTTCACACTACATATTTTTTACGTGCGTTAATTATTTACGTTGTCGAAAAGAATACGCGATTTTGTATGGAAGGCAGCGCCTCTAGTGCGCGTAAAGGGAACTACAAAGTTTAAAGTCATCGAATAACGAACAAAAAATTAACGTTAACGCGGTTCAAATGAATTTAGGTAGTGCAAGTCACTGATTTGACACTCGGTACGCGTTTGCCTAAAAATGCCTATTCAATCTAGCCTTGAATAGCCCCAAATAGTACTTTCAGCCGGTAGAGTATTTCATTAGTTTGCCGTACGTATCAGAAAGGAGGAAGCAAAGCGCGAATAGGTGGAATATCAACGACATAAGAATGAACTGCCCCGGACCTCCTAGTTGACCGAAAACGGAACGGTGAGGGTAGAACTAAATTGAAAAGTTCCTGCGCACACTCCCCGAAATGTACCCGATAGAAAACCGACAAGCAGGCTACTTTTCTGCGATGGTCGACATTTTGTAGCTTTGTGGTGACAAGAGAATTATTGTTAATAAGTCTCTTTGGTTTTCGCTCCACCGAGTTCAAGACAGCTAACCTTTTGGAAGATTGAGAATCTCCTCATTTTTTTTGAAGCCAGTTAAACACACAACCAGTTTAACACATAGAAAAATTTGCAAGGTCCGCTGGTTCGTTCCGTGGCTTAGTTGGTATAGCGTCTGGCACGGTAAGCTAGAAGACGTCGGTTCGAATCCGGCCGGATCGAAGGAATTTTTTCTGAGTGTTCGATCTTTGTATTAATAATTACAACAAACTAGTGCAGTAATTTCACAAAAAATAAGTGAATATCAAATCAATAAAAATTTAAAATACAGCGAATAGCGACATCTCTCACCAGGACTGGTAACTGTAAACTGGTGTGTAAGACTAAAAAGTCGTTGAAAAAACCAAATACAAAGACACGACGTAAGCACATAGAAAAATTCGTAAGGTCCGCTGGTTCGTTCCGTGGCTTAGTTGGTACAGCATTTGACACGGTAAGCTAGAAGACGTCGGTTCGAATCGGGCCGGATCGAAGGAATTTTTTCTGAGTGTTCGATCTTTGTA